CCCAAATGATTGCTCCTCATTGTTTGCTTCTTAATTTATTTTTTATTCCCCATGTAATATGTCCTTGTCCACAGTTTCATGAGGGCACCAGTGTCAGCCAGTGTGAGGGTCTGTTCCTAAAATAAGCAGAAATACATGCGTTTATCCCTATAAATAGTACTTGGACAACTTTCCACACCACACATCTCGGGTCTTTAAGCATTTACTGAATTCTTTCCTCTAATCTCACTATAAAATCGTTTGTAAAACTAACCCCGGTGCTTCTTGTGTTGCAGGTTGTTTACACTGACCATGCAAACAGGTTATTTTGCCTTTAGTATCACCCCCAATATGTAACAGGAGCTTGCAGGGGTTTGCTTTCTCTGCCTGGTGAGGAGAAGGCGTTCCCGGTATTACTCTTGTGCTTTCCTGATGGCTTCTAGAAATGACTTCCAGCAATATCTTTCTTTTGTACATCCACCTGTGTTTTTCTTATCTGCATCCTATTCTTTTTAAGGCCAGACTGGGAATAGGAGGTTAAGGGAAAATCTGTTGCTGATGTGATAAGGTTGCTAAATAATTCTGAAAAGCTTTTATTTGGTGAAACTGCGAGAAAATGATGACAACTAATAGCTGCCTGAAGCTCCCCCGGGACAATGAAGGATTTTTTCACATTGAAGACAGAGGGGTTATTTTTGTATTTCTGCATATCTAAAGAAAAGCAGCAGAACCCCTGATAGTGAGGTCATTTTTTTCACACAGAAATGTCCCAGCAGATGGAAATGAAGTCGGTGGGATTTTGATTCTGTAAGAATTAAATAAAAACTTATTATGGACTTTGGAAGGTAGCCCAGTTGCTGGAAGTCCAGCAAGATTTCCTCCAGCCATAAATTGCATGATAGGCTAATTTACTGGGGCTTTCCTATCCATTACTGCAAAGCCAGTAACATTAAAACATTAAAGTAAGTAACACTAAAACTTCTATGTCTTTCTAATCTCTGATTTTAAGGGAAAGGACAGCAAGATCGCCTGTATTTTGTCTCCCAACCCTTCCCTGTGCCAGGATGCCCTGGTGTTCCCCTCCCACACGCCACCTCCTCTGTCCTAAGGAGCTTGCTCCCTTCTCACATGCTTTCTGGTGTAGGTCCTCAGTGATTTGCCTCCTGGAGGAACATCCTTGGGTCCCCCTATGCAGGAGGCTCACCCCCATCCCTGGCCAGGACCAGCCCTTGCCCTGCACTCAGCCCGCTCTCAGGCAGGGGGCTGGTTTGGAGGGATGTCCCTGCCCATGACCTGTAGTGAAGACTAACACTTCTCAAGCTCTCACCAGCAACAGAAAAGCAGTGCCAAAGGAGTCTGTTTTCTGCCCTGTGCCCAGCTTCCAGTAGCTCTGGCATCCTCCTGCGTGACGCTGACTCCTCGTGCAGCCCTTCCACCATGCACCCCTGCGATGGGCTGCGCAGAGGTACCTCCCAGACAGAGGTAGATACCCCAGACGTGTGTAGATACGCAAACCGTGCAGAGGAGCAGGGGAAGAGCTGGATGTTTGTAGGAAAGGGATTGAAAGGCTCTGGAGACGCTGGGGCTCTTGCTGGGGTTCATGTCTCTCTGCTCCCTGCCTTGCACGGTTATAGCCCTCCAGATCTGTGCTGCTCAGCAGTTTGCTCCTACCTTTTGCTGCCATGAGCACGTATAAATCACAACAGCCCTAACTTGTGCTCTTGTACCTTTGCCAAGGTAATTAGTACAGTGCACATTTTAAGAGACTTATTTCTCTCTCTGGAGCTGCTTGCCAGCGCCTCGGCATGCACAGCCGTAAAATGTTTTATCAGAGCAGTTTGGTTTTAAGGAAAGTGCTGAGGAAGGCAAGAAATTAATGAAGGGCTGTCAGGCTTCTTATGTGGAGCCCAGTGTGTCCCCCAGCGAAGAGTGACAGAGCGATGGCTCCGAGTGCCTTTGCAGGAGCAGTTTTCTTCCAGCCTGGACATCTCTACCTGAGTGGCCATCCTAACAGTTGCAGAACTGGTGCTGTCAACTCCAGCCTTCCCAAACCCCTCAGTAAAGCACCCAGAATCTTGAGGGTTGTGACAAAAGATGAGGAAGGTGAAAATCAGTTTGTGTGCATCCCCCCACAAGACTGTGTGACATAAGCACTGATATTTATTACATTAAAGCAAGTTCTAGAAATGTTCTTCATAGATACCTGTAGAGCTGGATCCTGGCTGTGGATCCAGTTTCTGCATTAGGTTACCGGATGTTTTTCCTTCATTATCCAGGTGCATAGTGGCTTTTTGGCTTTTGCTTAAATGCACCATTTTTAATGGCCCTTCTCATACGCCATTTCCACCACTGGGTTTCACATAGGAGTTGCGGCATCGAGCCCCATACACAAACACATGCCCATTAAGTAGGTATGCAGTCCTGTTCTGAATGTAAATGCTCGTCTGGCATGAGGTTATCTTACTTGTTTTTGATAATGGCAGTCATCCAGTGGGACACAAATGACAACTGGCTCATCTGCTTTGCAAGATGAAGAGAGAGCTTTCTGATTCAGTTGAACCACAGTGGATTCATTATAATGCTGCAAATTTCAGTAGAGTTCTTCCAGGTCAATATGGATCTGACGCAGATCAACATCTCACTCAGCATTTAAATTATTTATCAAGCACACTGGCTCCTCAGGGCTAACGAAACATTGCTCCTTTCACCCTCAAGTGTTGAGTCGGTTCAAATAACCTCCAGGGCAGCCGGCTGGATTTGGGTTATAAATAACTTGCTCTGTTGTTGTTACAGTGTAGTGTTTCAGTTAGATCTTCAGTCTGTTTATAATGGCTGGCTCTCTCCAATTAAATGCTTTATTGAGGTTGATTGACTCAGGGTTTAAGAAAACTGTAGGAAAAAGATTGTTTCAATATTGGTGAAGTATGTGAAAGAATCATTTACACCATAGACTAGGGATAAGAGAAAAAAATGCACCATCTCTATATGAGACAGCAGAAGCAGAAAGGCCTGTTTAACTGTGAGCAGGATGGGTTTGCTAAAACCTTGGACCAGCCTCAGAGTTACTTTGCAACATTGGTATTAAAACTTGAAGAAGGGGTATCTTTGCTGGCATGCCTGCGCAGAGAAGGACAGACTACTGCATGCAGCATCAGCTGACGTGAGGGATCTCTGACACGAGTTTTATCGCTGCATTTGCTTAAAGCAGTGCTGGATGTGGTTTTCCCACATCTGAAGGGCTGGAGGAGCCCTGCCTTGGCAGAGCAACTATCCTGCTGTCTGCAGTGCTGGGAAGGTGCACCCTGAGTGTTTTAGCTCAAACTGGGCAAATACTGTTCAATGTTGTGCTTGTCCTCGGGCTAGGTTTTCTGAGAAGTCTGATTATCAATACTGAAAAACAGGACAGGACTGTTGTTAGCTTTAGGCAAGGTAGGCAATTTGATGTGGGCAGCAAAACCACTTGCAGAACTGAGAAAGGTGGAGGCTCTCCATGTGTCTCTGCAGCAGTGGCAGGGCCATGTGCAGCCCGTGCAGGCTCTGCTGCGGAGGTGGAGGGACTCCCAGACATCCTCCTTGCAGGGACCTCGGGACGCAGAGCCCAGCACAAGCCACATCCTGCCCTCTGTCTGATAGTGCTGTAGGGCTCCTTGTCCTGTTTTGCACCAGCTCTTCCTCCCTGTTGTGCTAGAGAAGAGGTCCATGCAGGTGGCCAGTGGCTCTCTAGATGTACAACTAGCCTTCCTGTACAGCTACCATCTCTTGCACAATATAGAGACCACAGGTTGTGCTCAAAGTCTGTCCTGATGCCATGCAGGTGACTGGGTAGGTGTTGTCACCTCTTGCGTGTCCTCGGTTCCCAGGGTTCTGCTGTGCCTACATGTCTGCAGAGCCACTGCAATGTCTCTCCACCATCTGGGAGAGAGTAAAGCCAGTGTAGGTGGCTTGTGTAAGGTGCTGGATGAGAACAGTCCAGAATGACAACCAGAGCAGTGAAGCGAGTATGGAAAAGACTCTTGGATGGGGAATGGTTGTATTGAGGGATGAGAGGGACTGGTGCTGTGTGGATGTAGGGTGTAGCCCATAAAAACTCCTCTTACCACATGTACAGGAGAGGATGGAAGGGCTCATGGCTGTGTAATAAAAGTATTCCTCCTGCTAAACACCCAAAAGCATGCAGAGGGAGGCCAGGATATCTGCATGAGTCAGTGTAGGATCAACAGCACTGGTTTTCCATGCAGAATTCATAGAATCATAGAATCATAGAACATTTAGGTTGGAAAAGACCTTTAAGATCATCCAGTCCAACCATTAACCTACACTACCAAGTCCACACTAAGCCAATTAAGGGTAGACTAGACTAAACCATGTCCCAAAGTCTACCACGTCTACCCGTTTTTTGAACACTTCCAGGGATGGGGACTCCTCCACCTCTCTGGGCAGCCTGTTCCAATGTTTGACTACCCTTTCCATGAAGAAATTTTTCCTGATATCCAAGCTAAACCTCCCCTGGCACAGCTTGAGGCCATTTCCTCTCATCCTGTCGCTAACTACATGGGAGAAGAGCCCAACACCCACCTCCCTACAACCTCCTTTCAGGGAGTTGTAGAGAGCGATAAGGTCTCCCCTCAGCCTCCTCTTCTCCAGACTAAACAACCCCAGTTCCCTCAGCTGCTCCTCATAAGACCTGTGCTCCAGACCCTTCACCAGCTTCGTTGCCCTTCTCTGGACACGCTCCAGCACCTCAATGTCTTTCTTGTATTGAGGGGCCCAAAACTGGACACAGTATTCCAGGTGCGGCCTCACCAGCACCGAGTACAGGGAAACAATCACCTCTTTGTCCAGGATGGTGCTAATCTGTAGAAGTGGGTTTATGTGTTCCTGAACAAACTTACTTTGTGATAGTGCTTGCCTGCTTGAAAACTTATTTGGGCAAGTCTTTAACAAGAGTTTGTCCCTTTTTCTCCCCTTCTTGGCCAAGACAGATCCAAGAGTCACGTGTCTCTTTTCTTGTTCTCCATTAGGCTCTGTGGGTATCCCCCCTTCTATGATGAAAATGACTCCAAACTCTTTGAGCAGATCCTTAAGGCGGAGTATGAGTTTGACTCTCCATATTGGGATGACATCTCCGAGTCTGGTAAGAAGCTGCTGCTCATTTAATTGCAACAACCATGCATGCGTGCCTGCCTGTTGCAGATCTCCTCCTCTGGGCGTGAGAACGCACCCTCCATCATGTGTGGAGCTCATTTTAACTGAAAATCATTGGGAACGTGCATTTCTTTTAGCTCAAATAGTTATGGGATGTTATTTCTGCAAGAGGGCAAATTAAGTACCATTTTGTCCAGTTACACACAAAGCACTAAAACATAGCTGGAACAGAAGATGAAGGTAGCAGAAGACCATCCCAAGAAGACAAAGCAGTTTAACTTCTCCTTCATATCCAAATAAAATGCAGATGGTTTTTGTGTCACTAATAATAATAAGGCAACCTAGTTCGACTCTGTTACTAGAACTGTACTGCAGGTCCGAGGTGAGTCTGCAGTGTATACAGCAAAGACAAACCCAGGAAATTAATAGCTTCCAAATGAGGTGGGTAAGCAGATTCAGAAACTGGGAGTACTGTCCCTGTAGTCAGATCCAGATAGCTGCCCATATGCTCGCCCAGTTCCCCACCCAGTGCAGAAGACTTTTAACCCACAGCGCCTGAGTGCCTGCGCTAGTCAGTCCGGCAGAGAGGCAGATACGTTACCCTGTTACAGGCAAATGTGCCTAAAGGCTTCTGGCTCCAGCGTGGCTCAAAGTCTGCCAGCATCAGTGCCTATAGGTGACAGCAAGGTGACAGCAGGGGCATGTTCAGTGTTGCACCCTGCGTGTGCCACTGACATGCTGTGTGGTCTCCAAGGGGTCACGCAAGCCTGGTGTCCTTGCTCTGTCCAACCTGGGGGAACATCTGCCATTTCATGCAGGAGAAGAAATGAATTCTAGGAACATTTTATCAGACAAAAATATCCTTAGAAATGCCGTTTTCTGATTCATTAGTACTACTGATTAAGGCAGGGGAGATATAAAAAGAAGTGTTTTATTTTCAAGATGATTATATATCCTGTTATCTCTGCATAGAACAACATTTCATGCTGCTTACATCTGCAGTCCAGATATCATTGTGATAGATTGCTTAAAAATGTATGTGATGAGAAATTTTTTTAAGCCCATAAGGGTTTTCTGAGAAAATATGAAGGTCTGCTGGCAGACCCCTTTGCATTTTGGGGGGAAAGTCCATCACCTAAATCAGCACAAAGATTTTCCTGCCATATTTGGCTTTGCTGTGGCTCCTTCAACTACTCTCTCCTGAAACTACTGGATGCATGCCATGCTGTGATCTCCCTTCCCTCCATTATAGTGTCAATTAAAAACACACTACTTCATACCCAAGGGAGTCCATTTTCCTCAGTTACTTGTTTTTAAATACGCAACATGTCCTCACAGCTACCCATGTGTGAGGTTGCTTGGAGTGAGCAATGAGAAGCTCCTCTTACTGTGGCATCTGACGTCCTCCTTGCCTTTCCCACTCAGTTTATGAGCATCTCCAACAGATGTGGCCATATGCAGACAGCTAAGATGGTCAGAGGCACTTGGGTGACCAGGGAGCCAGGAGCTGGCAGGCTTGAACTCTGCTCACTCTGAATTATTCATCCCACTTCTAGATACACCTCCAGGAGTAGACACCTTCAGCATTCACCTGCCATATTAAATAGCTTGGATTTGGTCCTAAGTCACTTTGGTTATATCTATACTAATAAATGGCAAATTACCCGGGGCCGTTTTCTGGCACTGTGGCCAGGTGGCACCTGGTAGCCTGGTCAGTGCTGTTGGCTGATCATCCTGCAGCAGAGCTGGACATGAACCGTATTCCTTTAAATTATTCTCTCTTTTTTTTTACAGCTAAAGACTTCATTCGAAATCTGATGGAGAAGGACCCTAATAAAAGATACACTTGTGAGCAAGCAGCGCGGCACCCTTGGTAAGCAACAGTCACTGCTGTGTGAAACCCTCAGGACAGAGAGCATTATTTTACATTCATGGGTGGAAGTGTTTTCTCTGTCACGTAGTATACTAACCTCCACTAAAAAACTCTGTGCTCTTGTTCTTACAACCCCTGCCTTTGTCCTCCAGATTTTCCTGGAAAACCATGATGGACTTTAATTTCATGCGTCAAACCTGTTGAGTATCTGTATATGGATTCAGTGACATGCTCAATTATGTATGTTGACTGTAGTGCAGCAGTGGGATATGCTAAAATGATTGAACCCAGAAATCATATTTTGGGGCACAAGATCAAATTCTACAGGTGTGCAGAAAGCTGAGTATCAACCTGCTCACAAGGTCCTTGCCAAAGTAATATCAGAGCACTTGAGAGCATCCCATGAAGTAGGAAGTCCTCATCTGTGCTTCACAGATGATAGTCCACCTCCTACTTGCAGTAAGGACCTGGTTTCACATGCTGTTTACCCTTTCTTGTTGAATGGAAGAGATAGAAAACCCTAGATAGGGATCAGGTCAGCTGAGACTGGATTGGCTATAGCAATGCTATCTCTCTGCAGTGACTACAGAAAAGTACCTGGTCTGACTGTATTCATAATTTAGACCTCTGTTAAGTGCTTTAAATTAGATGATACCTTTGCACATGGCTGACTTCACCAACACTACCCAAGTATTATGTAGCTGAAACAAGAGTGGCTTATGTACTTTTGACCAACCTTGAGCGACTGAGCATCACCCCATACTACCAACTGCACCAAAAAATGGGCTTTGGATGTCAGTCTTTTAGGGCAGGGATCGTTATACATGAAGTGAGATTTTGGTTGTCATAATAGCTGCAACAGAAAAGAATCAATGGCATGATATTTTCACCCCAGATGTGCATTAGACTGTGTTTTTATGCTATCACGATTACCACAAATACCATTTCCTTTTGTAGTTTTTTGGATAAGATCATTAAGCTGTGCATTTGCAGGGGAACCAAAGTTTTTCCTGAGCGTCCATAGCCCCTCAGAAAAGCGACTGGTCCAGTGTCGTAACAAGCTCAACAGCTTGATGGACTGCAAAACCATCCTGGCAATGCAATTTGAGCCCAGGGATCAGCCTCAAGTAGTGTAGTTGAGTATAAAATGCATGGTAAGAAAAGCACGGGCATAGAAGTTGTCGGTGAGTTTTAAGGTAGCACTGCTTTCTGCTGGGAGTTGGAGACTTTCATTCATAGGACAGTCTGCATCCCTCTAAGGTTGGGGAGCTTTATCAGTGGGGCTTTGGTCACCTCTGCTTCCTCAATAAGGGTTTTGGACATGTTCCTTGACCTTTCTAGCTCTGAAGGGACAGAACTTGGTACCCAGCTTAAAATCATGTTATATTTCAAAGCAGAGTAAAACTTAATGGCTGTAGCTCTAGAATAAATACTTCATTTTGGCTTCAAGGGGTTTATGCTCCTCTCTCTGACTGACTGGTTTGTCTCATCTCGTTGCTGCTTTCAGTTCTGGGACTAGATGGAAAGTAAATATTTTCAAAGGTTTTTACCATTCTGGCTTACTTGCTGATAAAGTTTTACCAGTACACAGGCTGATGACTTACCCCCATCATTAAGTAGCTATTTGGCACTCATGAAGGCGTTCAATAAGTTATGTACTCACACAAGTGGTAGAAATACAGTGAAATGGCACTGATTTCTCCATAGTGGGAATGATGTACCAATGTCTGACTGCAGATTGTCAGTCACTGTGATTACAAATCAGGCTGATGATAAGATTGAGGCTCAGCCTTTACAATTAAAAAGTTTTAGGAAAGGCAATTGCAGAAGGCAATGTAAATCATTGAGACCTCCATACCAATGACAATGAGAAACATTTTACAGGTGGTTATTAGCTGCATTAGTGGCTGACATCAATACAAATGAGAGATAAGGAGAAGTCAAGACCTGGGCCTGCCCTTTTTCCAATGTCCCATCAATAACTGCGTTGTCTGTGTAACAAAAAGGAAATCTGGGAAATTAAATCCAGCTTTTGTGAAATGAAAAAAAAAAAAAATTCTAAATGATACTGACCTGAGCCTCAGGAAATTAAACGAGTTACAAAAGTCAATACTAGAAATACAGAATAAACAACGGGATTGCAACTCCCAGCAGAGAATGAGGTGACCATTTGTATAACTCAGGCAGATTTTCCAAAGCCTTAAATCCAAGATACACAAAATGTAAGCATTCAGCTCTTGGCCCCTCTACATCTGTGTTGGTTGCTGGAGTGCAACAAAGAAACGTGGCACTTGTAAGACACACAGCTTCTGGGCCCTCCTAAAGGAAGAAAATGATAAAAAGTGTTTTCATTCCTTTTTTTTTTCTTTTTTTTCGTTTGCATGTCATGGCCAGGGGCCAATGGAAACTCACAGACTACTCCATAATTTTTTATATTTTCTACAGAATCCAATCTTCCATTTAAAAACAACGCCCCAAAAAGGTTTTTCCCCCATTTCTGTGGCAGGGGTCTTCTCCTGCCAGGCTGACATTGCAAGGCAATGGTTCATTTGCAGGGCTCCCTCCCAACCATGTAAAGCATGGCTCGGGGTCAGCCTTCGAGATGCCAGATGTGCAAATAACACCACAGAAGGGAGGGTTAAAATATTCACCATGTTTCCATACCCCATCCCAAATCTACCTCCCCTCAACACAGAGACAATATGTGCCAGTGGATTAAAGAGCAGAGGACAGTTGTGCAGTGAAAGCAAAGCATGGAGGTTTCCAAAGATAAGGCTTCAGATCTGCCTCTGTCCTCCCCAGTGAGCTCTTGAGCAAAACTCAGTATTTCATTTCTCCTTGCTCTGAAAAGCTTCCTGTAACTTAAATGTTGCAGTTATGGACCTCTCTGGAGAGTGGTGCCATGATTTTCTGGAAGGTTTGGATCCTGTAGGGACAAATGCTACTGAAATGCCTTTTTGGATAATCAAGGCTACTCACCCGGATATTAGCTGTTATTTCAGAGTTAGTGCTAGGATCTCCTTTTGCCAAGCAATTGCTCAATAAACAGTTTCCACCCACATTGCTTACGCCAGGAAATAATGAGGGTTTTACTGCTTCTTTTCTCATTCTAGCCATTATATCTGTTGCAATGGCATCATCCCCTCCCCTTTGAAGGAGGGGAAAGTCTTTTCGATGGAGGAGGAGGAGAGTTCTGTGCTTCCTCTCAATGGTCAGCTGTGTCCTTCTTTCAGCCTGGGCATATTTAAGTTTCCAACAAGTCCAGGCTTGAGTTCCTCTCTCTCATAGTTGCACTCAGTGTTGCCACAGCCAGAGGTAAGGGTGCAAGTGTTTAGCCAACAGAGAGAGGCAACCACAACTTTTATAATGTGGCCATCCTGTACCACCTTTTCACATGAGCATGCATTTTTCAGCATACATCCCCATTAGCAACACTACCTTCCATAGTGCCTACATAGCGTCTTCTCTGTGTGTGATCAAGAGTAATGAGGTACGTAAGACTATGGCCTTAGTGGAAAGAGATGGTCAGAGCAGACTTCAAGTGGTCATAAATGATACACTCTTGCAGAGTGCTTACACTTCAAGTAGCCCTTAATGGCATTTCATAAAAGGTATTTTTTTGTCTGCACAACTGGTTCTGTAGAGCAATGTAACTGGAGAAGCACCTTTGAACCCTAGAGTTCACATGAAGTGAAATCCTAATTCAGCTGAGGTTAATTAATGAGGTTGTAGTGAGGTGGGTGTTGGGCTCTTCTCCCAAGTAGTTAGCGATAGAATCAGAGGAAATGGGCTTAAGCTGCATCAGGGGAGATTTAGATTGGATATTAGGAAAAATTTCTTCACGGAAAGGGTGGTCAAGCATTGGAACAGGCTGCCCAGAGAGGTGGTGGAGTCACCATCCCTGGAAGTGTTCAAAAAACATGGCATGGCATGGCACTTTGGGACATGGTTTAGTGAACATGGTGGTGTTGGGTTGATGGTTGGACTGATGATCTTAGAGATCCTTTCCAACCTTAATGATTCCTAGTTTTTTACTTTCATTAAAAATAATCCAGCCACCAAGCCAGGAAACAAGAAATTGCTACTCTACCCTTAATTGGTTTAGTGGTGGACTTGGTAATGTTAGGTTAATGGTTGGACTGGATGATCTTAATGGTCTCTTCCAACCTAAATGGTTCTATGATTCTATGATTCTAATGGGATTTTTGCCACTGACTCCAGTGAGAGTTGGGGTTTGTCTCCTTGCCTCACCAGGGGAACACAGAACATCTACCCAAGTCACTGGGGCTGTGCAAATGGTAGGTAATTAATGTATACAATGATCCATGTGGTGACATTTTTCCAGCTTTCCCTTTTTCTTCCTCCTGTGAAATCTGCCCCTGCAGTATCAGATCATTGGGATCAGCTACAAATTAGGAAGAAATCTATTAAATCATGAGTACTTAACACATACATTATAATCTGATTGTGATAAAAATAGTTAACTGTGCATGAGATGGCTACCTGGCCATGAGATTTTGTTGTTTCAATATATAACATTTGTGAAGAACAAACTGATGCCAAAATATACCTCTAATTTTAATTGCCATGTTTTTATTAAAAACTTCCAAACAAGGCTTGCAAGAACTGGATCTTGCAAGATATTACATTTGTGCCTTTAAGGTTAATAGTCTCTTTGAATTTCGGGAAACTGTTCTAGAATAGCCAGCTATTCACATGACTAAATGTTTGTACAGGATCAGACCCTAAAAAAAGTAAATACTTCTTCCCAATGGCCCACTTTTCTGTGCTGTATCTGCTCCCCACATGCCTGCATTTACGTGATGTTTTGCTATTTATAATCAAATGGCCTTGGCAGGGGGACGGTATGTTAAACTCGGAGTTGGCAGAAAAGGAGGCTAATAATTGCAGTGAACTATGGTAGCAGAAACAGTACAATATGTAAGACTTGTTGGTATAATGATTACACCCCAGCCTGTACAATCTGTCCATTTATACAGATTTCTCCAGTTTAATATACAGGTG